CTGCCTATGGTAAGAGAGGCTGCGGGCCTTGCAGGGGGGATGGGGGGCGTTACAGGCCTGGTGGAACCTCGAGGACAGGGTGACAGACACGTTGAAGGTGGGACTGGCTGCGGGATGGATCCTGGGCAGGGGCGAGGGTCCCCGACTGAAGCCCACTGTGTCCTTCAGGCCCCAGCTCGGACCCATCCACAGCTTCCGAGACCGAATCGGAGAAGAGGGAGGAGCCCAGCCGAGCTGGGCCTGGTGACCGGGACCCCCCAACCCGGGGAGAAGAAAGCCGGAGGCGGCCGATCGGGGGCCGGGGTAGGGGACCCCCAGCTGCCCCTCGGCCTGCCACAAGATACAGCGCTTCGTCTATCAGTTCAGGTGCCAGCGTGGGACAGCTGGGGGTGCAGGTGCGGGCCAGGAGGAGGGACGGCGGACGCCCCATAACCACCGTCTCGTCCTCCTCCGACCAGTGCTGAAAGACCCCGACAGCAATCCCTACAGCCTCCTGGACACCTCTGAACCAGAGCCCCCAGTTGACTCAGAGCCTGGGGAACCCCCCCCAGCTAGTGCCAGGCGCCGCCGCTCCCGCCGCCGCCGCACGGATGAGGACCGGACTGTCATGGATGGAGGCCTGGAATCCGACGGGCCCAGCATGACAGAGAATGGCTTGGGTAAGGGCTGTGCCTGGGTCTAGAGAGGTTGAACCCAGCAGGAATTGAGGTACGGGAGATGAGATGCACCCCTTGGGTTTTCCCTGCCCCACAGAAGATGACTTGAGACCCCAGCGTCGGAACCGGAGCCGCCGCCGCCGTAACCGTGGGAACCGGACGGATGGGTCCATCAGTGGGGACCGTCAGCCAGGTCAGCGCACGCCGGGTGCCCGCGTCCTTCCCCAGGGCAGAGGGAACGGGGTGCCTTCTGCCAGGGCTTGGGTCTTAGCGGGCGTCTAAGAGCTGGACACCTGCTTCCTTCTGAAACCCTGGGTCCTCTGCCTTCTGCAGTGACCGTGGCTGACTACATCTCCCGAGCAGAGTCTCAGAGCCGCCAGCGGCCCCCCCTGGAACGCGCTAAGCCCTCAGAGGACTCTCTTTCGGGACAGAAGGTAGGCAGGCAGGGTGCCCGTACCCGCCACGCTTTCCTCCTGGGGCAGGCACGCAGGGACTCGCGGAGGAGCCCGTGTCTGATGGCGTTTAGGCCGCGTGTGGAATAGGGAAGGTGTGGTAGGACAGAGGGAGGTTTGGCTCGGACTTTTTGGGTTCCTCTGAGAGTCGCTAGAGTCCCGGGACCAGCCCCTGGGGCGCCGGCCGCCAGGAGCACTAGGATGGGGGGGGCACGGCCTGGATTTCTACTGACCGGCTTCCCGCTTCCTCTCCTTTTTTCTTTCCCACTTCCCCTCAGGGTGACTCTGTCAGCAAGCTTCCTAAGGGCCCCTCAGAGAATGGGGAGCTCTCCACGTCCCTGGAGTTGGGTAGTTTGGTGAACGGGGTTTCATAAAACCTCTGGCCCGCATCCCTCCCTTCTCCGTCTCGCTTGCTGCCCCACACCGTGGCCCTCACAGGCCCGACCGACCTGCGCTGGAGCTGCTCTATCTAGGGGGGAGGGGGGTGGCACAGCAGCTTGGGTCCCCCTCAACCTCCAGGAGCTAGTGGAGGGGTGTGTAACAGGGTCATACCCCCTCCCTCTTGTCCGCCCAACCCCCAGGGTGAGGGGAGCCTCTCTCCTTCCCCATCAGACTGGATGTGCCTTTATCCTCTTAACGCCCCGATCTCTGAACACCCCCGTCCTCCGCCTGCTGGTGCGGGGTGCTCCTCGACCCACCCAGATTCGACAGTTCAGGGGGGCTCCCCTGCTATCCCTCCTCCCATCCTGTACCCCCCATCTCTGGGGCCTCATCACTGTGGAAGACGGGGATAGTAAGGGTATGAGTGGGTGGGAGGCATGGGGAAGGTTTTGGAGTAGAACCAGGGGTGTGTATGAAGGGGGCTGACAAGGTCCCCCAGGGGAGGGGGGGACCAACCTTGTCTGGTGGATGAGAAGGCGTATTTATTTTTCACTGTACAGTATTTAAAAAGAGAATAAAAAAATCCAAATGGCTCTGTGGTTCCTTGTACCTTCCTTGGCCCCAGCTGGGTCCGTCAGTTTCTCTCTGATGGACCTGCCCGGCCTCGTTTCCTCTCTCCCCACCTGCTTTCTCTTCTGGGAATTCCTGGCATTCCTGTCTCCCAGGCCCAGGTCTCTTCCTAGTCTGGAGCCCAGTGGCTTGTGGCCTGTCGTGGTGCTTCTCCCCTCCCCCGGGTGTGCTGGTAGAGGGAGCGGGCCGCTCCTCCCCTGAGTCACGGCGGCCTAGGCCTAGGTAGGGCTGCTGCGGGGTACTCGAGCGGGAGCTGGAGCCGGTCCCGAGAAGGGCTGAGAGCCAAGGCTGGGCTGCCTAATCCGATTACCGAGGCCTGGGGCAGAACGGGGAGCCGGGCTCCCTCGAGACCCTCTGAGGCTCAGGGGGCCCGCCCTCCGCTCTGGTTCCAGGCTCGTTCTCAGGGATACATGCTGCTGACCCCTTGCTCCGGGGGTGGTGGTGGTTGGGGGGGTTGTCCCGGGGCCTGGGGCTCCCTGTCCTCAGACTCAGGTTTGCAGAGGGCAGCCGGCGGGGAGAAACCGAGGCTTGGGGGCTAGCATCGGGATGGCTTAAGTCTGCTCACCTGGACCCCGGGTTGAATCACCACCTGAGCACCTGCTGGGATGACTCAGGAAGCCCGAACCGGCCTGCCTCCAGACGGTGTTGGCCCAGGGGCAGGTCAGGGCTTTGAGGAGCAATAGGCACAAGAAAAGGGTTTGGGGTAGGGGGTGGGGTGTTCCCAACTTCCTCCTCGCTCAATTGGGACCCTGAGGGCTTTTGATTCCCCTGTGCGCCATCCCATTGTGCGGAGGAATTGACTTTAAATTGCCGGAGCTGCAGCAGGAAGGAGAAGGCGTGCAGCGTTCCTGGGGCTGGAAGGCTTGACATCTGGGTCTTGGGTGGGGAGGGGGCGTGGTGCCCCGAGGGGACTGTTGGGGGCTGGGAAGAACAGGACACCTGGGTTTGCCCGAGGGAGGGGGACGTTGGCGCCCTTAAGGAGGCGCGGTCTGCGGGGAGGGAGTGGGGCGGAGTCTGGTTAAAAGCCGTTCCCGGGTCTGGCCCACCCGCCAGCCACAGACGTTGAGGCCAGGTGAGAGGGGCGGTGGCGGCCGGGCCCGGGACTACTCGGGACGCTCGGAGGCCGGGCGCGCCTTGGCGGCAGGCGGGCTGGGGCGGACGCCTCGCGGCGTCGGGGAGCGGAGCGCGCAGCCTGCTCAGTGCGGGGTGCCCGGCGGCGGGCCGAGCGCCGGCTCTCCCAGGTGCGCTTCATTGGTTGGGAGCAGGGGCTCCGTTCTCAGGACTCTGAACTTGGGGACGACGCCTACTTTTTAGGGACACGAGTTCCTCTGGAACGACTCGAGACTAGGAAGACACTTGCATTTTAAGGACCCCGGGTTTGGGCACCGACGTTGCGCTTCGGAGGGGAGGGCGCGCGGGACGCTCTCTCGAGGCTTCCCTCTCCGCCCCCCCCGCCCCACGCCCCCATGGCGCTTCCCGGCCCTTCCCACGACCAGGTCTGGAGCCTGCAGCCTCCTGCCCCCGCGGCTCCTGCCAACTCGCCCTCGGGCTGCCAGGAGCGGGAGGGCGCCGGGAGCCCAGGGGTCTCCGGGGGGCTCCCCCTGGAGAAGGTGAAGCGGCCCATGAACGCGTTCATGGTGTGGAGCTCCGCGCAGCGCCGCCAGATGGCGCAGCAGAACCCGAAGATGCACAACTCGGAGATCTCCAAGCGCCTGGGCGCGCAGTGGAAGCTGCTGGGCGAGGACGAGAAGCGGCCCTTCGTGGAAGAGGCCAAGCGGCTCCGCGCCCGGCACCTGCGCGACTACCCCGACTACAAGTACCGGCCTCGGCGCAAGGCCAAGAGCTCGGGAGCCGGGGCGCCCCACTTCGGCGCGGGGAGCGGCGGCGTGGCTGCTGGCGGGCCGGTCTGGGGCCCCGGGTTCGCGACCACCCAGGGGAGCAGAGGCTTTGGGTACCAGCCGCCCAACTACTCCACAGCCTGCCTGCCCGGCGGATACGGGTGAGCGGTGGGGAGCGGGCTGAGGGACGCGCAGGGGCCACTCTGGGGGCGGGGGGAGCCGACTGGGAGGACGCCCCAGTGCCGCGCTGGCCTGGGAGCGCTCTGGTGGCCCCGGGTTTCCATCCCAGCCCCGCAGTGCCGGCCCCGCGGATGTGATCCTGTTTCTAGTTACCTGAATTTCCCGTTTCCTCCCTGCTTCTGGCCCTCCTGTGACCCGGCTTCCTCTCCCTGCCCGCGGGGCAAGGAGAGGCCAGGCCCAACTCTGCCCCTTCCTGGCCTCCCGCCCCAAAAGAGGAAAACAGGCGCAGCACGCAAGCTGGCCCTCCGGAGCGTGCCCCGACAGGGCCGCGCCGCTGTTCTCAAGCTGTCCCGGGGTCTGCTCCGGACAGCCGGGGCCTTGTTCCTACGTTGCCCAGAGCTGGTCCAGCCCCCCAACCTGTGAGTGGGGGGCCCTGCCGGCCCCTCCCAGCCTGGTACAGGCTCTAACCCCGGTGTCTGTCTCTCTGCAGCTCTTCCCACTGTAAACCAGAGACGACCTCGCCGTGCTCCCTCCCTCAGAGTAACCCCCGGCTCCAGGGAGAGCTGCTCCCCCACTATAGCCCCTACCTCCCCCCAGGCTCTCCCACTCCGTATAACCCTCCCCTGTCAGGGTCCCCCCTTCCCCTGACCCACCTCTAACCCCGGTGGACACGGACCTCCCAGGAAGGGCCCCCTCCCCCCCTCCTCTGTCTTCACCCAGAACCTCCCACGCCCACCCCAAGCTGCAAACCCTCCTTTAGAACTCTGTTGGACCCCAGTTCAGAGGAGGCCTGTGCTATGGTCCCCATCTCCGCTGCCACCTCCCCCACAAAACACACTTTTTTTGTAGGATTAACACAGTTTTTACAATTAAACCATGTCTCGGCGTCTTTATTGCCCTGTGTCTGTTCCCCCCTCACTGCAGCAAGAACCAGCAGTCTCCGCTCCCTTCCGCCTGGACCTGCCAGAGCAGGAACCGCCTCACCCCACCCTGCGGCCCTGCCTGAGTCACTCTCCATCCCCCCACCCTACCCCCAGCCAGCACTGGGGTCCTGGAGGCCGTCCCAACCAGGTTCGGGGAGGGAGGCAGCAGCCCCAGGCCCCCAGATGCTTCCATCGGCAGGCTCTGCCCTCTAGGGCCGCTGGGGTAGTGCAGGGCTGACTTGGGCCCGAGATACCTAAATAGCTGGGGATTGCTGCTGGAGAAGTATGCGAACGATTAAGTAAGTTAATAGTACACGCACGGGGCCGTGCAAAGTGTCAGCCTGAAAATCTCGACGCCTGTCCCTTCCGAGGATATGCATACCCACCAAAACCCTGGCTCAAGGCTGTCACGACCGTAGAGGAATGAAGAACGAGGAGAGGTCCCACCAGCAGGCTGGTCCGGATGGGAACGACCCTGAGGCTGGGGGGACGAATGGAAGAGACCCGGAACCCGCTCCAGGAGCCAGCTCCACCCTACTGCTCTTTCTTCCCGTGGGCGGCCTTTGCATTCCAGTAGAAGAGGAGCTGGCCGGCGATGAGGCCGTTACAGAGAGAAGAGACCACAAAGGTGCCCGCCATGAGGGGATCTCCCGTCTCCTGCAAGAGAGACCGCCAGGGACCCAGAAAGTGTTCAGAGAAGGGGCCGCTTCAAGCCCGCCGCTGCGCAAGGGTAGGGCTCTAGTGCCCCCTGGAGGGCAGAAGAGGCGCTCACCTGAATGGAGGTGAAGATTCTGGCCAAGGACCCCGCAAACAGCAGAAAGACGGTGACGGCTGAGAGCTGGCCCGTGTGTCCGTTCCGGTAGTTGGTGGCCGCCTGGAGCAGCTGGGGGAGACAGTGAACGGTGACATCTGAATTCTCCCGTGTCCCGTCACAGAGCTGCCGGCCCCTCCCGGTCCACCCGCACCCCCACACGTGGGGCTCCCGCCCTGCACCCTTCCTTTGCTCCCAGTCCTCACCCTCCCCACGACCACCGCAGGCATGTTGGAGGCCTGGAGCAGGGTGATAAGGGCCAGGGGCGTCAGCGGGGACAGCAGCAGCAGCAGTACCAGCGCGTAACTCGCTAGGAAGGTGACACCTGGGGGTCAGGGAAGTAAGGAGTCCCGCTGAGCCTCTCCAGTGCTCGGGCTTCCCCAGGCCGGAGTGCCCTACAGGGCCCGCTAGAGCCACAGCCTGCTCTCTGCTGAACCCCCAGCACCTTGCATGGTCTGTCCTCTGTAGTGCAGGACCAGGAAGCAGATGGTGACAGTCTGGAGCATCAGGAACAGGGCTTCTCCCCAAGAGCTGCAGAATCAAGAGTTGGGAGGAAGAAAGGCGGGCCTGGAAAGAGGCAGGGAGAGCCTCCATGGCCCCTCCATCTGGGGCCACAGTTCGCTGATGACTCTCCGTCCTTCAGCACCCCCGACAGACTCCGTCTAGGTCCTGGCCATCCGTGGCGTACTCTCCTCTCGTCACGACCACACAAGACGGCCAGATTTCAAGAAGGGCTTAAGCTTTGCCACCCTTTTACCTGCCTCGCCCTACCCCCACTAGACATGTGGACATTCACCCTTAGGGACCAAGGGTGGGCTTCCTCACCTGAACGGGAAGTTGTTGGTGATGCTGTAGACCATGGTCCCCATCAGTGCCACTAGTTCTAGCATTACTGACTGAAGGCTCAACCCTTCAGCCCTCTTGGCTCTCAGGATTTTAAACACCTGCGGCAGTTTTACTAGAGACAGGAAGAGAAGACCAGGGATGAGGGGCGTGTATCCCTCGGGAGCACACCACCCCAGCCAGACAGCAGGCTGGGAAGCCTGGACCTCCACTTCTGGTTAAGGGACCCACCCAGTTTCTGGCATCTCAGCTCTCCGCCCTCCACCCAACGGCAGGGAAAGAAGATAAGGTACAAGGTACGTACCCAGCAGTGACCCAGCCACAATGCCCAGACCCAGGCCTTTGCTGAGCAGGATCTTGAGGCAGGGGACTGAGAAGAGAAAAAAAGGAGTAAACAGAATGGACGCCTCTCGAACCCAGCCCAAGGCTAAAGGTTCTTCACACTGCGGTGGGTTGCCACCGCTCCTTAAGACCTGCACGGAGCCGCACAGGGAAGCCTGGGGCTGTCTGGTGGCGGGTGCAAAAGGCCTGGGCCTTCCTGCTCCAAATCCTATCACTGTCAGCTGACTTTTCCAAAACAGGCTTTACCCTGCGGATTACATCTAAACTGCTTGGTGTGGGGGCGCCTGGGTGGCTCAGTGGGTTAAGCGTCTGCCTTTGGCTCAGGTCGTGATCCAGGGGTCCTGGGATCGAACCCCACGTTGGTCTCCCTGCTTTTCCTTTTCCTCTCCCTGTGGCTCCCCCTGCTTGTATATGCACGCGCTCTTGGTCAAATAAAAATGTGGGAGAAAAAACTTCTTGGTGTGACTTCCAAGAGTCTCCATCGCTTCCCTTGTGCAAAGCTGAGCAATGCCCAGGAGTCCACAGATCCTTCATTCGCCTCATCTGGGCAACCCAGGCGATCCACTCCAGTTGTCTCCCGACCCATTCATTCCTGAACCCTTGTCCCTGGCCCCCTGCTCAGGGACCTCACGTTACCCTTCAGGTAGGCCCTGGCCCACACCTTCTGTAGCCCTAGGAGCTCGACCCAGTCGGGTCCCAGGAGCACACAGTGGGGGACCAGGAAGGGACAAGAGCAGGCTGGGCCGGTCTCCCACGGGAACTGACGTCTGCAGTGGGCTTCGTGGGGGTCTGCCTCGCAGACGGGGCACTGCGGGATCACCCCAGGCTCAGACCATGAGCAAACGTGGAGGGTTAGAGGCGCCCCTGGAAGTGCCCCTGGAGCCCAAACTCCTCAGAGGCCTTGAAGCAAGCGCCAACTGCTCAAGGTCTACTCATCTTTTTTAGGATTTTATTTGACAGAGAAAGCAGGAGCAGGGGGAGCGGCAGACGGAGAGGGAGAAGCAGGCTCCCTGGCGCGGGGCTCCATCCCAGGACCCCGGGATCCTATCGATCTACTGGAAACCGGAACGACATATAGTCAGGCTGTGACTCTGCTCCGTGCCGAGTCTTCCCATCTCTCACTCTCATAAATAAGTATTTCCGCCGCCGCCGCCTGCCGACCCCTCCCGGCCGCCGCCCGCCCATACAAGGCGAGTCCCCGTCTATGAAGGCCGAGACACTTCCGCACCCTCCGCAGGGACTTCCGCCCGGCTCAGCCCGGCAGGGGAGGCCGCAGCCTGGACCGCAGTCCCGCGCCACTGATGGCCGAGGGCTATCGAGCAGAGCTTTGATAGGAGGCCGAATAAAGCTCACCGTGAAGCAAGTCCCAGTGGACAAAAATTTGGTCGTAGCATTTCTCAGGTAAGAGAAGCGGTACCAGCGCCCGTTTCAGCAGGCCGTCTGCCTCGGCCGCCATGTTGCAAAACTAGCTTCCGCCCATCTCCGGGCCGCCATTGACCGACGCTGCGCATGCGCGCTCTGGGCTTCCGCCCTCCCTGGTCCCCGCTCTTTCTTGCCCCCCCCCTCAGCAGCGTGAAATAGGTCTCGCCGAGAGACCACGTTTCGGACGCACCCTCCCTGTTCGAATTTCACGGCGTCCTCGGGCTCTGCGCCTGCGCAGTTCCACCTATCGCGCCTTTGTTTACGCTTCCAGTTCGGAGGCGCGGAGCCTCCTGCCTTTCTCCGCGCCTGCTGCGCGGCGCCATCTTGTTCGCCCTGGGCCGACTCCACGTTGTTCGAAGTTGAGAGAGAAGGCACTTGAGTCTCCCGAAGGGCGTTGGGTGGGGGCGCCGTGGCTCCCTGTCTCCTGTTGTCTCGGCGTCTCCAGAGCGAGGGGCGCCGGCGGGAGCAGGACAGCCTGTGGCAGGTAGCCCCCCGGAGGCGCCGAGCTGCGCGCAGGCCCCCGTTCCACCTCCCCCGACTCCCTGGGCCTTGGCGGTTGGGTGCGCTCGCAGCTGCTGGGCCGGGACGGTGAGGCGGAAGAGGAGGCAGCAGGGGAGGAAGGCGAGCCCCGGGACCTGAGGGTTCCCTCCCACCCCGCCGACCCCTGCGCCCTCTGCGGCCGCGTGCCGAGCGAGCGCGCCAGCGAGGCCCCGGGCCCAGCAGCACCCCTTGGGAAAGGCCAGCGTGGACGACCCCCCCCCCAGCACCGCGGAGCGATGTCCTCCGGCCCCCGCGCTGGGACTCGGGCTCCCAGCCATCCTGGCGGAGGCGGGCCTGGCGCCCGCCGCACAGATCACGCTGTCGAGCGGCCGTTCTTTGCCACAGACAGCAAGGTCACCCCGGATGTCCGGGGACGCGGTGGTGGGGCTGCTCCCAGTGGGACAGGTCTCCGGCCTTATAGGACCTCTGCAGCTGGAAGGGCCCAGTCCTGGCCCCCGGGCGATTGCACCGTGGGCTCCTGTGAAGTGGGGCAACCGGCCTGGGGTGGGCAACCGGCCTGGGGCGGCCGCCCGCTCCCACAAAGTACACCGCACGGGGCTGGAGGTGTGGGGCCCTGGCTGGAGGTATTCTGTTACTGGGGGAACACCGAGGGTGATTGTGGGTGGAGGTCAGAGTACCCACTGCTGCCGCAGCTGGGATAGGAGCATCCCTGGTGCAGGAGGGTTTGATCGGCGTGTGCAACCCTCCCCCGACGGCTGCGGGCAGCGCAGAGCTTTCTTGTTGCTAAGGAGATCCCACACAGCCCTTGGAAAGGAAATGACCCAGGTGTGACCTTCCCACCCACGCTCATTGGTTCACCTGTGACTGCAAAACTGGTTTGGAGGGCAGGGGGCGCTGGAGCAGCCAGAGGCCCCGGAGAGAGGAGAAGGGGGGGCAAGGCGGATGCAACACCTGCTGTGAACCCATGAGGGCACGTGGTCACTTGTGACCTGACGGTCTGGCTGGCTGAGCCTCAGTCCTGGACGGCGCAGAAAGGCGTGTGAGCGACCCTCAGCGGCCTTTAATCCTGATAAGAAAGGGGAAACCGAGGGCAGAGGTTCGAGCAGGTTTTATTATTCGGGGGCTGGGAGAGGAAAAACAGGTCACATCTAACAAACATCTTTCTCCTCCATCCCTCCATGTGGCATTAGCTCTGCTCTTGTTGGTGACCGTGAAGGCGGAGAGGGAAGACAACTTTTGTTTCTGAGTCGGTTGAGTGGGGAGAACCGCGGGCCCCGTGGTGTCCTCTGGTGTTGGGACAGATCCTCAGAGGGCCTGGTAGGAGGGTGGGCGTCTCCGAACCACGCAGAATGTAACCAGCACCAGGGCAAGGAGGCCGAGCGCCACCAAGCCGATGATAACGGGCAGCAGGTTGAACTGGTCGCTGGGACAGGAGAAACCTGGCAGAGAGGGAGGGTGGGCAGGAATCACGTGGAGGCCAGGCCCAGGAGGGAGGAGGCCTCGGGGGGCACGCTGGCAAGTGGGAGGCTGGTGCGGAGCTCCCCTAGAAGACTCTGGGCCCTAAACAAAAGGGGAGGCGGCCAGAGTCTTGCAGAGGAAGTAGGACGGTTGCCTTAGAGCCACGGCAGGCCTGAGAGAGGAAGGGAAGTTCACAGTGTAAGAAGGAAGGTTCTGGGCCCAGGGCAGGGGGGCTGTCCGAGGGGGGGAGGAGGGGTCTTACTTGGCCCAAAGGCCCCCGAGGGAGGCAGCCGAGCAGCCTGAAGCTTCAGCCCGAGCAGGTCAAGGCGCAGAGACGGTGCCAGGGTGACACTCGCGTTTCTGCAGCTGAAACTCTGGCCCAGGGGCGCTTGGAGAGCCCGAAGGGATGAATTCTGACCCAAGAAGGTCCATTCTGGAAGAGCGAGGAAGGGTCAGCTCTCTGTCCCCGTCCCCGGCTGCTGTCCCTTCAGGAGCCCGGACGTCCAGGGCCCGCGGCGAGGGGGCGGGTTACTCACGCGCTGCCCGAGGAAAGGACACGTTGTACTCCAGAGCCACGGAGCTCAGGTAGACCGCGCCCTGCCGTGGGTCCTGGGGAGGTGACCGGGAAGGCTCAGGGCGGCCAGGGACAGCGGCAGCCTCGGCCCCGAGTCAGGAGCGCAGCGAGTGCTGGGTGGGAGGAGGGCTCATGGGGGCAGGGATGAGGGCCAGGTACCTGCTCGAATCCGAAGCTGAGCTGTCCAGAGGGGAACGAGAGCAGCAGACGGGGGTGGGCGCCCTCACAGCGCCCCTCTGGTTTGGTCTTATTGGGGTTCAGGACCGAGATGCCCCAGGCCTGCAGAAGTTAAGATGAGCGTGCTGTGAGAACACGGTTGTGCCGTCCAAGGCTCCTCACCCTCTGCATGCCCACCCCACGTGTCCCCTTCTGCCCCGCAGCCGGGGGCCTTGCACCCCTGCCCCTCTGGTCCTCCGCCGTCTCTTGGCGTTACCTCTCCTCCGCCCTGGGTTGGGTACATGACTCCAATTTGAATCTGGGCTTGGAGCCGGACGCAGGGCTGGGAGCCATTGGTCCAAGTGTAGTCTCCTATGGCCTCCTGGGGCCCCGGGCTGGGACTGGGCGGTGGGGGCGGAGGGGGCGGTGGCCCTGGGTGGGGGGAGCTGGTGGAGGTGTTGGGGTTGGCGGTGGTGCTGTTGCTTGTCGTTGGGTGAACTGTGGTGTTTCCATGGCTGGGGGTGGTCGGGGGCTTGTGAGTGGCTGTCGTGGGTTCTTGGCTGGTGGCGCTTGCCGTGGTGGTTCTGTGGCTCGTGGTCCCAGGGCTTGCTGTGCTTTCTGTGGCCATCGGGGTCACCGTGAAGGACGGCAGCAGAGTGGCCGACTTCTTATGAGGACAGTCGTTCCCCGTCCCCTGGGCTTTCAGCAGAGGAAGACTGGTCAGCAGCCCTCGGGCATGCCCCTCCCGGGGCCTCCTCCCCTTGGGCCTCTCCTTACCTGCCAGCAGCCCCAAGGCCCCCAAGAAGAGCACAGCGAGCCTCATGACCGACGGGCCTCACCCTGGCAGTCCGGGTTGGGTTTGTCTGCACCCGCTGCTTGCTCAACCCTAGCCCTCTGCCTCCGTTTGGAGAAGGAGGAATTAGGATTTTGACTTCCTGTAACTCCGGCGGTCCACACCCCAGCCTGACTCAAGTACCTCAGCCCCAGCCACCGATCCCTGAGTCACTGACCTTTGTCATTGAGTGAGGGGGGTTGCCCTGGCTTCCCAAGTGGGTGCCACCAGCCTTCAAAAGTTCACACATAGATGGGAGTCTGGAGGCAGCTGTTCCTCAGGGAACAATGTATCCAAGTCTGCCAGAGGTCCCAAGGGATTACAAAACCCGTGGGGACACATACCCCAATGTTCCCCAGAAATGGGGTATGTAAGCCAAGGGGTTTGGTTAAAGGTAAAATTTTGGGGGGGGGGGGGGATTTTGACAGATAACAAGTAGGCCGGGCAGGGTAGAGCCGCCCCCCCTGCCAAGCAGAAAGCCAGAAGGCTGAGGCTTAACCCACTGAGCCACCCAGGGGCCCCGGGAAAGGTTTCTATTCTGTCACTTCCTCTTGGCTGAGACACGTGAGGCACTTGTGATGCTGCGGGTGCCTGGCGTCCAGCCCGTTACAGAGCAGTGTCCCATCCAGTGAATGGGACCACTTTCTGGTCAGAAGGGAGGTGGGGAAAAAAGGCAATCCGAGGATAATTTGGAAGGGTAATGACTACTCGCTGGGAGGTGAGGGGCACAGCCAGAGATGTGCCAGTAACAGGTGGGAAGGAAGGGGAGGCAAGAAATGAGAAGCCCAAACAGGCAGTTTGCAAGTCATTTTATTCAGAATTTTGTGTTTTGTTTCCTGAATCAATAAATACTATACAAAACAATGTAAAAATGGCTACCATTTTTCCTCCCCTGCTCCCCCCACCTGGGGACAATCCCGAGTCCCTGAACTCAGAGATTCTCCAGATTTGGTCCAGCAAATGAGGCTGAGTGACACTGTGGCCCCTTGGATCCTGAGGCGTTCAGCTGGGGTGGGGGAGAGCCTCTGGGGTTTGGAGGTTGACTAGGTTACGGACAGATTAGTGTTTTTGGGAGAAGAGACGGCGCCTGGAGCAAGAGCCTGCCCCAAAGAAAAGGGGATCTAAAATGTTCACGGTTCCTTCTTTTGCCTCAAAAAGTGACATTTATTCAAAGAAAAAAAAAAAAAAGGAAAAAAAAATGACAAGATGTCCATCCCTTGGCTCCCTTCCCTCCCCCCTCCTGCCGCTCTTCAGCCCCCCAGATTGAACCCTGGGGGGCCTAGTAGCAGGACAACCCCTCAGATGAGGTCAGCGACATTGAGGGGCATCTCCTCGATGGAGGTGTTGTAGAAGGTCTCGATGTCTCGCAGAGTCCTCTTGTCTTCTTCTGTCACCATGTTAATAGCCACACCCTTACGGCCAAATCGTCCCCCACGACCGATTCTGGTGGGAAACAAGGACATCTCAGGGTGAGGATGGATGAATGACGGAACGGGAAGAGGAAAGAACTTTAGCTCAAGGCAAGCTGCAGGAACATTCCAGATCTACGCTTACCTGTGGATGTAGTTTTCCCTGTTGGTGGGAAGGTCATAGTTGATGACTAAAGAAACCTGCTGCACATCGATGCCTCTGGCCTAGGTCAGGGGAGAGGACGTGTCAGCACGAGCGCGACACAATCAAGCTGGAGGAACTGGAGTGAGTGTAGGCGGCCAAAGGCAGGCAAAGGAACAGACGTGCCCTGTTCCCGAGCAGCCTCAAGCACGCCAGATCGTCTTCCAAGTTGCTACTTTCCGGAAGAGAGGCATGAGCGGGCCCCCTGGAGAGGGAATCAGCTTGGACTTTCCCTTTTTCCTCCCCGCCTGGCGGCCGCCCCCCACTCACCAGCAGGTCAGTGGTGATCAGCACTCTGCTGGAGCCCGAGCGGAACTCCCTCATGATAACGTCTCGTTCCTTTTGGTCCATGTCTCCGTGCTAGAGCAGGAACAGAGAGGAGGATGCGTGTCACGGGCCCGCGGGCGCAGGGGAGCAGGTACCTGTAAGGCCCGCGGACATGCCAGGGGCACGTACCATGGCGGACACGGTGAAGTCCCGGGCGTGCATCTTCTCGGTGAGCCAGTCCACCTTCCTCCGGGTGTTGATGAATATGACCGCCTGTGTGATGGTCAGGGTCTCGTACAAGTCGCACAGTGTGTCCAGCTTCCACTCCTGGGTGGGGGAGGGGAGACCCGTCAGGGGCTATACCCAACCAAGCCCCGCCGGCCCGCCTCCTGCGCTGGGCCCCACCTCTCGCTCCACGTTGATGTAGAACTGGCGGATGCCCTCCAGGGTCAGCTCCTCCTTCTTGACCAGGATCCGGATGGGGTCCCTCATGAACTTCTTGGTCACTTCGAGCACGTCGGAAGGCATCGTGGCAGACAGCAAAACCACCTAACACAAAACGGCAGCCTCGGGGTGGGGGGCCTTCACAACACTCGCCCCCCCTTCCCGTGGACCACCTGCAAAGGAAGCCGGTGCCCAGAACGGCTGAAGGGGAGACCCCAGCGTTCTCGATGGCACCCCTGCTGTCACCCCAAGCACACATCGCACAAAGGCAGCCTCGCCTTTGCGGCAGGAGCTCGGGCAGCGGCTGCTCACCTGGGTGTTGCTGTTGAGTTTCTGGAATATGTCGTAGATCTGGTCCTTGAAGCCGCGGCTCAGCATCTCGTCAGCTTCGTCCAGGACGAACATCTTGATGTACTTGGGAGCTAGCGAGAGAAGACACCAGCAGACCAGAATGAGGGGATGACAGGAGACTTTGATTTCCCGATGAGGAACAGGGAAGGGACAAGAGCACTGCTCTCAGAAGATGGAAGGCTGATCCTCCGCCTGCAACCCGCTCAGCCAGCTGGCAGCCCCGAGAAGCAGAACGCTCCCCCAGGCTCAGGACGGGAAGCGGGCTCAGATGACACGCATGGGCTCATCACAGAGCAGCGCAGCCCGGCGTGGGGGGCTGGGGATGGGGGACAGGACTCACACAGGTATCTGCGGTTCAGCATGTCGAACACCCGGCCCGGGGTGCCCACGATGATGTGCGGTGCCTCCATCTGCAGCTTCTGGACCTCGGCGCGCACATTGGTCCCCCCGATGCAGGCGTGGCAGGAGGCGCCCATGTAGTCTCCCAGCGCCATGACTACCTTCTGTATCTAGACCCGGAGACAAATGCCCGTATGTGAGCCGCGCCAGAGCGAGGCCCCATCGGAGAGGATCGGGACGAGACGCTTGCTCTCCAACCCAGACGGGGTGCCATTGAACTCACTGCTCAGACAAGGAACGGGCAGATGCTTCTTTTAAGATCACGCGCATTAAGTGGCAGGCTCAGGGTGTGAGCTGCGTCTGGCTCCTACGAACACAAGGGTTCACAGTAACCCCCTTCCTAGGCCACCAGCAACCCATTTCGTCAGGTCTCGTAGCCACCGGTCTCAGGAACAGGCCGTCCACCGGCATCCTAGCGCACTCTGGCCGCACGACCTGTGCTGGGGGTATGTGCAATTTCTAGAAAAGTATCTTCTGCACACATAAGGTCTTTCTAGAGCTCTTCTAGAACTCTCCCTAGCCTGCAGTACCTTACCTTTGTTCAGTCAGCACAGAATCACCCTGACTTCTCCACGCAACTTTTCTAGTGAAGAGATTACCGTTTCTGACCCTCCCTCCTCCAAGAGCCGGGAAAACAGTCTACCACAAGGGTTTTATGTGCCCCAGGCATGAAACAGCTCTGGCCACCAACGCAGGCATCAAGCTAGGATGAACAAAGGGCAGTGCGTGCGCTCTGCCCCCAGCTGCTAGGAGCACATCACCACTGACGAGGTGTCTCTCTGCCCATCGCCAGGGGCTCTGTTCATCAAACAAACACCAAACCTGCCTAGCCAGCCAGGCTCCACCTTTTTGTTTGACTCAGGAAATGGGTGGAGAAAATAATGCTTATTGTGTTTGGGCAAGAGAGGGCTTATAATTAACCCCAAGAGCCTCCAGATTTCCCGGAGCTCTGGTTTATTTCCTCACCTCACGCGCTGGCCCCTCTAGCTGTCCCCCCAGCCCGTGCTTCACTTCTGATGAACGGTGATCTGCGGGGAGCACACCTCTCCCCGTTTTCTGATGATGCGGATCATTCCTAAAGGAGCCCCTCAGGGGAAGAGGGAAGAAGCGACATGCTCACCTGCTGAGCCAGCTCTCTAGTGGGCGCCAGGACCAAGGCCTGTGTGGCCTTTAAATCTAATTCAATCTGTTGCAGAATCGATATGGCGAAAGTGGCTGTTTTCCCAGTCCCAGATTGGGCTTGAGCGATCACATCATAACCTAAACAGAGCAGCAGGAATCGGACATGAGCGCATATCTCAGGATCAGACCTTTCAGGGCTCTGCTCCACCAGCGAGCACCCCACAGAGCTGTGGGGCGAGCGTCAAGTGCTTCAGACTTCACCCTGGCGCTGTGCAGAGCTCACGTGCAACAGTGTGAACTAGACCAAATCACTAACTCCCTCAATACCGCACCGAGCTGGGCGTAGAAACACAGGTACGAACAGTCACGAGTTGCCTAAAACACCACCTTACTGAGATCACACCGGCAATCCGTGTGTCCAGGGCATGAACCAGACATGGGCACAGACCAAAAGCCGAGCTGGGATGAACAAGGAGTTGCTCTGTCCCTAACTGATATGAGACAAGCACCACCAACCAGGTGCCGCTCTACCCAGGTCAGGGACAGTCCAGAACCTGTGCTGGGGCCGAGCGCACTCACCCTTGATACAAGGAAGAATGGCTCGCTGCTGGATGGCAGAAGGCTTCTCGAAACCATAGGCGTAGATGCCACGAAGAAGGGACTCGGAGAGATTCATGTCATCAAAGCTGTCAACGATCTCATTCCAGTTGCTCTGTGGGACAGAGTGTTTCCAGTGGCAGGAGACCACGTGGTATTCCAGTGTGGAGGAGCAGTCCTCATCCTCACTGAGAGTGCCATAGGCCCCGTCTCTCCTCCCGCCAGGGAGGCCAGGTGGGTCCCGGACTCAAGGCCCGGGAAATCCCCGGACGGCGCCAGGCCGCTGGTAAACCAGAGAGCAGACCATGCAGAAGACAGGACTCAAACCGAACGGACTGCTATACGCGCTCCAAGACACAGATACTTGGAACAAATCCCCGGAAAGGAATCAGGACTGGGGTGGGGGCGGGGCAGATCTACTCGGGCAGGGGACAACGGCGCTCCCGAGACCAGAGGACACCGGTGGAGATCGTCTTTCCCAGAAACGGACAAGGGCGCAGGAGTCCCAAGCTTACCTCGATGACGCCTTCGGGCTCCATTCCATCGGGGCCATTGTCTCTGGATCTGTTGGCGGAAAACAGAAGCCCACTGAGACGCTGAGAAACCCTCCCCGCGGCCGGCTGGCCCGCACCACGCCGTCGGCCTCCACTCCCGCGCCGACCCCGCCAGCTCCCCGGGGACACAGTCCTTCCTCCACCGAGTCAGAACGCCGCCGCGCTCCCGGGCCCACGTGTCCCGGGCCGGGTCGCTCCGAGCCCGAGCCGGAGCGCGTGCGCCTCCCACCCCCCCCCCGCCCCGCGGCCCCCGCGCGCCGGAAGTCCCGCCCCTCGCCTCCCGGCTGCGAGGGGAGGACATCCCCTTCCCCCCCCCCGTCCCCCCGCCCGCGCCCCCCCCCCCCCCCTCCAGCCCGGCCCCCCCCCCCCGCGGTGCCCGG